CACTGCTAACAGGTCCACACTGCTAACACGATCATGCTGCTAACAGATCCACACTGCTAACAGGATCATGCTGCTAACAGGTCCACACTGCTAACAGAACCACACTGCTAACAGGTCTACACTGCTAACAGAACCACACTGCTAACAGGACCATACTGTTAACAGGTACACACTGCTAACAGGATCATGCTGCTAACAGGATCATGCTGCTAACAGGTCCACACTGCTAACAGGATCATGCTGCTAACATGTCCACACTGCTAACAGAACCACACTGCTAACAGGACCACACTGTTAACAGGTACACACAGCTAACAGGACCATGCTGCTAACAGGAGCACGCTGCTAATAGGAGCACGCTGCTAATAGGAGCACGCTGCTAATAGGATCATGCGGCTAACAGGACCACATTGCTAATAGGATCATGTTGCTAACAGGTCCACGCTGCTAACAGGACCACGCTGCCAAAAGGACCGTGCTGCTAACAGGATCACGATGATAACAGAACCACACTGCTAACAGAATCATGCTGCTAACAGTAACGTGGTTTTTATAACACTTTTTTGTTTTGTTTCATTTGCTTTTTATTGTTATATATTGTCTGTACGCTATACGTTGTCTGTCTAAAAGAGGTCTCGGTTGAAAATTAGTCCTTGTGACTCTGTGAGACTAACCTGTATAAATAAAATTTAAATAAAATAAAATAAAATAGCAATGGCCTGGATAAGCAAAGCCCTTATGTTTGACCTTGATTTGTGACCTTGTTCTTGACCTTAAGGTGATGACAACTGTATCCAATACTCCGTCTAGTTATAATCCATATGTTGTATCAAGTTTCATTAAATTATCTTGAGTGGGTCAGAAGTTATGTGTGGGACAAGAAAAAGTTTATCTACAGAGACCATAATACCCATGTGTCAAAGTCAAGGCCCGCAGGCCAAAACTGGCCCTTGTCACCATCTTAGCTGGCCTCCTGTTATATTTCAAATGAAAAATATTTATTGTTTCTCACTTGACCTAAATAAAGATAAACTAAATACAGCATTTATTACAGCCTTCTTGTGACGGTTATCTAACGTTGAGGCCAGAACTGAATCTGAGCACACACCTGTAACCTGACAGTTGCTCCTATAATCATGCTCTTCCTCAGGTCCCCGATACGAATCATGAAGCAGAGGCGGTTGTTCCTCACTGCAATCACTGCGTGTCGACTGAAGATCAGCGTCTCTGCACGGCGGTTCGACTGAGCCGTCTTCATAAATATGCAACCTGAAGAAAGACAAAACTCACAGAAATTCATTGTACTCCGCTCAGCTGTCAGGAACCAGTTTATTCTAAGAAACTGAACCCTAAAACTTCAATAACCACTAAAGTTTTAGGCTGGTAACTGATAAGTTTTTAATTTATTTGAAAACAGTTTAAGACCAATAAACCATAGATTAAAATAAATGCCAGATAATAATAGAGAAGAGTTTCTGTGACATACCCAGCATGATGGCGTTGATGATGAGTCCCACGATGTTCTGCAAGATGAGGACCATGATGGCAGCCAAACACTGCTCGGTTATCATCCGTCCTCCGAAGCCGATGGTCACCTGGACTTCGATGGAGAAGAGGAAAGCTGAAGTAAAAGACCTGAGGTGAAGAAGAAAGAAGAAACTCCTTCTGTTATTTTCATCTAAAATTAGAGGTCAGGAATATTTTGGACAGTAAGGATGTCTTCTGGGTGGACGCACAGACACAATCTAGGGGACAAAGGTTTGACATTTCAAGCTGCAGCATAAACTAAGTTTTAAGGAACGATTCACCTCTGACCTTGAAATCAATGGCGGTCGTCCTTGACCCATGAGTCCAGCTGTGCAGTTGGATATTTCTATGTACGAGTTCATTTAGAGCTCGGACTCGTCCACAGACAGATGGACGGTCTTAACATAAGCGTGTAAATATATGGAGCTACAAGTTAAGATATGTATGACTATAAAACAAAATGGCTTGAAGATACTCAAATAAAATGCTCCACTTATGCTCATTAACAAATTATGTGTATAAACCCCAACACTAAAAAATATTTTAGGGATTAACCTCCTAGCATCAGGCTAGACAGATCTAAGCCTTTTTAAACATTATTACTATTAGAAGTAGTAGTTAAGCTAAGGAGGTCATTAATGAAGCAGTTAGAGACCTAGAGCAGTTCTAACCATGAACTCTAACGTGGACATTTCTAGGTCATTAGACACCGTCACGAATAAAAACACTGATCATGTGACTAAACCCTGAATTAAAATATATGAAGACAAAGGAAATAAAATAAGACACATAAACAAAGCATGATATCAACCTTAAAATCATAAAACAGCGGAAATCAGAACAAATTAGAGCCCAACTAGGCCTGTCACGATCATTTTTGCTGGTCTCAGAAATTATTGCGATAAACTATAATATTGTTTGGAGACCGTTTTAAACTAATATAATGATAATGACATAACAATGCAAGTACATCCTCTCAAAGATCAATAACTTTAATTTCAAAAGAACACTTAATGGAACACTGGAGCCGGAAAATAAAAACAACCAAAAACAAGAATAGCATAGACTCTCAGTTTTCCTTAACAAAAAATAAAATGGAAATAAAAAGTACATTCAACCAAAACAGTACGGATTATGAAGTCTGTAAAATAAACTGCCCTTCAAAAATCATTGGTTTTATACAGAGTAGACGGGCAAAGGTCACAAAGGTTCAGCGGTTCGCCTCGGTCATTTGGCTTGAATCCAAAGTGCTCCCACTCTGCTGTTGTTGCATTCGACTTTGAAACTGATTCCATTTTGTGTCCCCCCCCCCCCCCCCCAATATCAAACAAATAGCGTTTCTTTAGCTTGCTAACTCCTCACGGGGCTCTAATGCTGCAGAGGTACAAGACGATGCACCTTGACTACCTGACGCGATAGTTCACTCCCGCCTTATGCTAAGGAAATGAGAAAGGGAGGGGTCAGTGAAGAGCACTGGAGTTGAGCTTATTATCATCCAGTGTCTTCAGTAGAAAGAGAGAGACACGAAGAAACAATAAAGCCGATAAATGAAAATGAGGTCTATAATTTTCATTTATCATGCAATTAATTGATATATCGTTTATCGAGACAGGCCTAAGCCCAACCGATGTATCGTTAGGGCCGATATTTTAGGCCGATATAGGCGTTTGGGGACATATCGGTATCTGTGATAATTGTACCATTATGTGCAGATATAAACACTGGGAACGAGCCGTGTCCTTCCTTGCAAAATACATAATTCTACAATGTATCCACCAGAGGGCGCATGAGGACTACTTTCAAGTCATGGCTGTTCACTTTAAGTTTCACTTTCAGCACAGCCGAATCAGGGAGCAATATCGTGTAGAATATTTTGCTCAACCGAGCATGGTGAGTTTATTTTAACTGATCTATAAAATAAATCAACAATAACATATTCTCTTCAACCCTCCAACCCGCTTGTCGTTAGCTATGTGCCTCTCAAGTTAGCAAGCTAACGTTTGGATAGCCTAGTATAGACTATTGCTTTGTAAAACTTTATCCAGAACGATAAATCTAACGTAGAGGTAAAATATATATCAGTGTTAGTAACGTTATCTTTGTCGTCCTCAATGAAATGCATTGTTTCTTTGTTCATTTATATTTTTACTTTATGATGATTGGAGGATAGAAAACGTGAATGCACGTTAGAGACTTTATGTTAAAACAGCTTTAAAAGTAGCTGTTTACTTAGATTCTAGGGGGTGGACAAAGCTAAAAAAAAAAATCCAACCATTATATAGATTATTGGCATTAGTACACCCCTACCAATATTGTATCGGCAATAGCCAAAACTTCCATATCGGTTATACTCTAGAACAAATAAATAAACACACAGAAATAACCCAAGAGCATTAAGTTAAATTAAACATTTTATTTTAATGACTATAAAGTAAGAAAACAATGTAAAGTTTGATCTCACTTTTGGTTTTGACAAGTCTATAATGGAAGGTATTGGAAAATAGGATTAGCTTACAGATAAAAATCCTGCTTGAAGTAAAAAACACGATTCAAAGTTTATTCTTGGTGTCTCAGAGTTGATCCAGTAGTTCTCAAACTCTCTGAGTGGCCCAGTGCCATGGCAGGTGTGGTGCATCCTCCCTGAATGTTTTTCATGTCTGAAACATGTAGCAGGCGGAACTAACTTTGCATAGCCTCGTTGCAGCCTGATCCTATTTTAGCGATGCACAAAACAAGGAATTTACCTATTACGTTATTTGTTTTTCTCTTAAACAGAGAGTGTTTGGAAAATGGAGATGTGCGTTATCGCTAAAATCAAATACTTTAATTGAGGATTACTAAAGTGGGTTAATTCAGCCCATTTAAAAAATACGAGGCAGACGTCACGTTTATTGTGTCGAAGCTCCATGTCAACCCAGCTGAGGTGAGTTCTCTTCCACCCCTCGATGCTTGTTTAGTTTCTAAAAGCTCACGTCGCTGCGGGACCAGTGTTGAGCCAAAAAAATGTTTGGGCTTCATGGTAGCGCACAGCCTGTTTGAGTCTCTCACTCTTTCCTCAACTTTAGCTCTTGGAGTTAAACAACATAAACACTTAAGTCCAAGATTATAACGAAGGCGTTCTTATTCAGCTCAGGATGATCGCACTGTTGGTTAGTTTCACATTTTTGAAGTTTGTCATAAATATGTGCATATTTCAATGTTACACAGGATTTTAGCAAAATAAACTACAAGTATTTAAATGTGCTATGATGGTTTAGATTTAGAACCATATCTAGGCCTGTCATGATAACAAATTTTGCAGGGCGATAAATTGTCTCAGAAATTATTGCGATAAACGATATTGTTTGTAGTTTGACAATAATTAGTAATTATTGTCAAATTTAAGAAGTACCTTTTATTGACCACCGAATGTCAATATAAGACTGTTTGAACTGAAAGATGGATAGTGAGGGAGCGAGCAGCGTGTCTCTTTATGAACAATGGGAGGGAGGCCCCTTGACGTGACATGGGTTGTCTCTCTTCGGTTCTTAAAATGGCGGATGCTCGGTGTGGTTTGAGCTCTTTAGCATTTTTCACAAAGCTTTTAATAAAATATCACTAAACAAGTGCTCAGCTTCTTTTTGCAGAAAAAAAACTTTTTAGACAAAGGCACGGGTTTTAACTGTGAATTTTGGAGCTTCAACAAGACGGAGGTCCGCCTGTTAGCTTAGCTCGTAGCTTAGCTTCTCAGCTGAGCTGCTTTTAACGATCCAAAAATGTGACTTTGTAAGGTTAGAACAGATTTTAAAGAAAAGAGAAAAAAGAGAAAGGGAGGAGTCAGTGAAGAGCACCGGAGTTGAGCTTTTTGTCATCCAGTGTCTTCAATAGAAAGAGAGAGACACGAAGTGCATCATGCGATTAATTGATTTATTGTTTATTGCAACAGGCCTAACCATATTGTGATATAACTGTACTGTGTTAAACGTACAGTAATCTGTAGCAGGGGTGTCCAATGGTCCTTGAGGCCCACTACCCTGCATGTTTTATATCAGTGGTTCCCAACCCTGGTCCCTGAGGAACACCATCCTGTATGTTTTAGTTGTTTCTCTGCTCCAACACATCTGATTCAGTGACTGAATTACTTCAAGGTTTGCAGAAGCCTGCTGATCACCCATTCATTCAAATCAGGTGTGTCAAAGCAGGGCAACAACTTAAACATACAGGATGGCGTTCCTCAGAGACCAGGGTTGGGAACACCACTGTTTTAGAAGTTTCTTTGCTCCAACACACCTGGTTAGAATCCAGGCTTCTGCAGGTGTGTCAGAGCAGGGAGACTGCAGGATAGTGACCCCTCGAGGTGCAGAATTGGACACCCCTGATTTAAAGGATGCAATAAAGTTTCACCTCTGTGGCGGAGGAAGAATGATGAAGATGAGTCTGAAGAATTAAGAAAAAGGAGGACTTAAATATGTGCCAAAACCTCCAACTCTGGGAATCTTTTAACTCTCACATTTGGCAAGAAAGTCCCCAAGTCCAAGATCTTCATCTTCAAAGTGGAGTAGAGGAAGCAGAGGGTGGGAGTTCGATGGGTAAAAAGCAGAAGCCAAACATGAAACATTTCCTGAAGAGGGTTCTTACTTGACGTCGGTGACGCAGTGGCTCAGGTTATGGCGCTCCGGGTCCAAGTCCCCGTGCGCGAACGCCACGAGCCACCAGCTCATGGCGAACAGCAGCCAGCTGCTGACGAACGTGGTGGTGAAGATGACGAGCGTGAAGCGCCACTTCAGGTCCACGAGCGTGGTGAACACGTCCTGCAGGAAGCGGCCCTGCTCGCGGATGTTCTTGTGCGCCAAGTTGCACGAGCCGTTCTTGGCGATGAAGCGCGCTTTGTTCACGCGGTCCCTGAACACGGGCTTGCGGGGCATCCGCGAGACGAGACCCGGCAGCGCGAACTCCTCCGGGATGATGCTTTTCCGGGCCAACATCTTCTTCTTTGGTTTTAAAACTCAAAGAAAGTCCAAGAAAGTTTGTCCTCAGTTTGTCTTCAGGCGCGGAGACATGTCCACAAGGACAAGTTTGGACACGGACTGGTTCTCTCGGCTCTGCTCTGGACTGGGAAGGTCTCTGTCCAGTTGGACATCCTCCAACCTCCAGAGTCCAGTCCTGCTGAGAACTGCTGCCTTCACGGACCTTCCAGGACCGTCGGAAAACATCTGACCTGCGCGCAAATCGACATTTTCTCACAACTCCAAATCAGCAAACGCATCACGGAAGCTAATTTTAAATCGTTTAAATTACTTTTTAAAAGTCTGAACACGTAAAATCACAAAGAAATGTAAATAAACAACACGATTAACATTTATGTAGACATTTTGTGAGCAATTTAAAAGTTTTGTTCAGGTTGAAGAAGTGAATTTGTTTAATTTTGTTTTCTACATTGTTGCTGCTGTACTTGTTTCTATTTTTATACAATACATTTTAAAACCAAAATAAAAACCCCATATGTCCTTTATTAGTTGAGCCTTTCCATTAAAAATCATAACTTATCTTTGTTTTGATTTTGACAAATGGATTTCTTATTTGTGATGTTTTGCTTCTCATTACAGCAACTTAAAAAAGCCTAGATCTGTATTTTCAAATTTATTGCTATATAGAGATTTGACACCAGAGGGTGCTATTGAGTCACACACAGTATCAACTTCAGTTTTTATTTATTTATTTTTTTTCAAGGATTTGTTCTGCACTGGACAACAAAGAGTGTGACATCACTCAAATGAGTTTTATCATCTTTCCAGGTATAAAAATAAATAATAAATACCAGCCTACGTTAATTTACTTTGCCTACTTAAATCCCTCAGATATGCAAACTGCGTCACAGCATGTACTAGTGTTACAAATGTGGAAAAGAAGCATTTAAAACTGTGAAAAAAGGTTTTATTCTTTAACAGTCAAGTGAATCCAAGATTTTCTGCATTGACTTGATCACGAACTCATTATGTGGCAAAAAATAATAAAAATTAAAGTAAAAATATTAACATCCAAGGAGGCAACCATGTGAGAGGAGAGATGAGACAAACTTATTTAAATTAAATAGGCTTGTCTCCACTGAAATGTTATTTTGTTTTAAACTAATCTTTCCATCTCGTCTTTTTAAATGAACTTGTTGCGTAAAAATAAGGAATTCATGAGGCCGAAAAGAGAGAAAGGATCTCATGAAGCGTTCAGAACAGAAGCTGCATGGAAACGCTCATTTCAGACACATAAACAGAAAAGATTTATGAAAAGTAGATTTGGCCAAGACTTTTAGAAAAGGGTTGGGGGGGGGGGGGGGGGGGGGGGCAGCTTGAAGATGGATCAAAGAACAGAGGAGGGAGAGAAGAGGCTGCACACATGGAAAAAATACAAAAAGACATTTAAATCCATGTGGGTAGAAAAGAAAAACTTTACATTTGCTCGTTCAATTTTTGTCACAACACAGGAAACAGACGTCTTGGAGATGAAACATCTGAGGAAAATCTTTCAAAATAATTTATTATCTCATTTAAAATAGCACTTTAATCAACGTATGACAGGAAGAAAGGCTCATCTTTCTCAGAGAAAAACAACAAAAAAACAATTAAATAAATATTTTCTGCTCCAACATGCTCCATTAGAATTTTAAAAACACAAAATCTTTTAATAAGTGACCTTATTTCAATATAAATATGAGCTTTTTA